TCCAGGGATTAGCATGGGTTTTCCTGTCTTTTATAACACTTTTGGTATTTGCCCCTGTTTGTTAAATGTTAGGGCTTCTTCAACTTTATGACTTCCTTCCTGTAACGATGCATCCACTGATTGTTGGACTTCATTTAAAATTATAAATATTTCAAAAATAAGTCGGTATAGTGTCACTTCTTCCGTTTGAAGAGTAAAGATCCCACGTTTTACAGTTGTTTCAGTTCTATCACAGCTGTGCTCTGAAATGGTTCGCAAATTTTGGTTGCTAGTTAGAGAATTACAGATGGGTCGTTTGAAATGTCCCCGACTGTATGGCCACTTTCTGATGGCAATAAAGTGGTGATGGACACAATTAAAGAACATTTAGAAATGCTGCAGCAGAAATTCAATAAGTATTTTGGAAAGCATGTACAAGATTTCCACTGGGTTCATGATCCATCTGTTGTGAATTCAGAGCATCTTCTGATTAATATATAAGAGGAACTCGCAGATTTAAAAGCAGACAGAACATTGAAACTAAAACTTCTCGAAGTGCGTTTGAATATGTTTTGGTTGGCAATAAGGAGTGGATACCCGGCTATCTCCGAGATGGCAGTTAATGTGTTATTGCCATTTTCAACTACATATTTGTATGAACTGGGCTTCTCAACATTAACTGAAATTAAGACATCAAAGAGGGAGTGGCTCAAATCCATTGAGAAGAAATGAGACTTTTGTTGTCAATGACGTCAACGATTCCACCACGGATCAGTCACCTGTGTGCAGCTACACAGGTGCAAGTATCACATTGAAGGTATGAGTAGAATTACTGTATTTACTTTAATAGTAATAGAAGTGTATTTTCTACACTCTACAGTGAATTGAAGTTCATTAATTGTTAATAAATGCACGAGTCAATTTCTATTTAATGATAATAAAATAACAATATAATAATATTATAGTAATAAGTTGATCACGTTACATATTTATATTAATTGTCTGATATCATGAGTTTTTGAGGGGAATAACATTTTGGTGTGCCATGTTGAGTCATGGTTACTGCATGGTGTGCTGCAAGTAGAAAAAGGTTGCAGAACACTGGCCTATACCATATTCACTGACACCATCCATCTTTTCCATATGTGGTTGTTTGATTTGCTAAATAACATTGTCAGAAGCTGAGATTATATAGTGTTCAATGATTATGTGGTGATGAATAATGAATTAGAAAGGATGTGGAAGGGCATTCTTTCACCTAATTTAAGATGCTACCCTAGCATTTGCCTGCAGGGACTGAGGAAAGCAGCAAAGAAGGTCACCCAGGATTATCAGCCCCCTGACTGAGATTTGAAGTAAGGCCCTCCCAAATACAGTCTCCTTATCCTGTTCTTTTGCATTTTAATGTAGTTTTAGGTGTCCTGTTTTATTCGATACTACGTGTGTTCCTTCAGTTTTTGTCTGTAACCCTGTATTTTGTTTCTCGTGTGTGGCACTATGATATGTAATATACAATCATCTTATTTCCGCAGTTTTCTACACTTCTCACTCTCTGTTACCGTTGCAGGGGAGATAAGACAGGGGACAGAAACACAAAATGATACAGACATGCTGAACATCATGGTCAGATGGTTAGCACTCCTTCATATTTTGGAGTCTCAAGTTAAATCTAAGCCCAGAGACCAGCTATTTTGGTTGAGGTTTAAGGTGGTTTCCTCAGTCCCTCCAGGAAACAACTGGGAGAATACTTCAAATTAGACCACAACTACGTCCTTCCATGGTCTGTCTGGTTCATTATTCATCCAAATATTGGACACTTAGGGTCTGAGCTACTGAAAGTATTGCTAAGAAACCAAAAATAAGATGCAGACACATTGATTTGCCAAGAAATGGATGGAGAATTTTTCTGACGGATACATCTAATTGTTGATGATTATAGTTATGATTATTACATTTCAAGAATATCTTTGTTCCTGCCACTGCTCAGCTCACAGCGAGTCCTGTCACGTCTCTACAGTGATTGAGATGAGGGAAGACACCCACTCTGTTGGGTCCCTTAGAAAGAGCTGCCTTCAATCACTGGATTGATTGTGATTGAGGCTAGCTCTTTCTAAGGGGCCCAACAGAGTAGGTGTCTACCCTCACCTGAGGATGGAAACAGATCCAGTTGCCGAAACATTGTGTTTTTTCTTAGTTATTTAGAATCCGGACGATGGACAAAGTCCGAAAACCCAGTATCTCTGTGTGTTATACACCATCGTCAGAACCCTATAGTATCAACATCTTCCCCCCCCCCCCAACTTTTTCCTCCCCTGTACTGTCCTCTGGTCACTGATCAGTTGGAGTTGCAGGGATGGTCAACTGCGTACATGCTAGCCAGGTGACGTCTATGACATCTACCATGGATAGTAAAGTAAAGCTATCCCTGTACCAGGCCGTGAAGGCCCATAGGGTTATGAGTAGGGACCGGATTTTTATGCCCTAATACTCCCTTAAATATGTACGCATTTATGCATGAAAAACTTCCGAAATATGCACATAAAAATTTATACCAAATATTAAAATTGATTTTACATTATTTTAAGACCAACAAATCAGTATTTAAGTTCATTTTATGTAATCACTGAATGATTCACTTGCAATAAAAAGCTGTACTTAAATACAAATCATGAAACAAAGCCAACACATTTCATTACAAATTTTAAAAACCAATGGTACTCACATTTAGCTCTCCGAACTTTCAACTTCTCTTCTATTGCAGTTCACAATTACTAGATGTTTTATGTTTTCCATAGTTAGTCGCCTCCTATTGTCTCGTAAGGTGTCCTTATAGCGGGAAAAACTTCTTTCCACCTCACAGGAACTTACGGGCGCATGTAGAAAAGCCGCTATTTGTTCCGCTGTTAGTGATTTTTTACTTGGCAGTTCAGTACGTTTACCGGCTAAAATTTCTTCAGTTTCATATCCTGGATTTTTTTAAAGAATGTTGTGTACTTTTTCCTTTACTACTTCACCAACTCTTCCAGGAACCGAATTCAATTTGGAAACAGTGGTTTTGAACACACTTAACGACTGATACAGAGTAGCACTGCTATTGCTTGCCTCCAGTTAGGAAATGGCGGATGGAAGATGAGAGAAGTGGTCAGATATATAGGAAAGATTAGTTTCTACTTCTGCGTTTTTTAGTACATCTTGGGCAATTTGAATTGATGCTGCACTTTTGGATCAAATGTATTCACGACATTCCTAACTGTTTCTAAATGTTCGGTATAATAACTCGCTGCACACAGCCAAGTGACCCAGCGCGTTAAAATTGGTTAAGACGGAAGTGGAACGCTCGCTGCTACTGCTTTAAAGGCGTATTTTCTGTAAGGCGCTTTAACAGATACCTTCTTCACAGAAGAAACCAACTTGTCAACAAGCGGAAAATTTGCACGAATTGTTTCTGCTACACGGTGCAACCTATGGCCAAGGCAAGTCAAATGTGTCATATTTGGAAATACAACTTTAAGAGTAGCACCGGCTATAACTTGCGGCATCAGTCGCAAAGAGCAATACGCGCTCATACTGAATGCCATTCGGCCATAGTAAATTCATGGAATTAATAAAGAAAATTCGGAAAATGCGGAGCTATTTATGGTTTCAAATTGCTCTACCGCAAGAAGATGTGGGGTAGATTGTTCATTCTTATTAAGGGATCCAACTATACAATTTGCAATAAACCGCCCCTCTCAATCTTGCGTTTCGTCGATTGATACCCCACACAAAATTATCTTGAATCTTATCTCTAATGCTTTCAAGTGTAAGATCGTAACACTGCTTCACGTAATTTTTGCGCACAGTAGAGTCATCCGGCACTTTGCACTGGGTATACTTCTCTGTGAAGTTTCTCAAAGTAGGACTGGTTAGTTTCCACAGCGGAATATCTGCCGCTAAAAAGGCTTTGCATAAATCAAAAGAAAACTGTGAAAAACTATTATAAGGAAATTCACTAAGAAATTTTTGAACAGGAGCACTTTTCGTGGATTTAATTTTAATATTCTCTTTGTGTATATTAGTGTTCAAATGCTGAAGCAGTTGAACACGATTTTCACAACCAACTGTTTTCTCACACGCTCGGAAATAAAGAATTTCGTTATCCGTACTTATCATCTCTCTTTCGAACTCCCGCTTATACAGCTGTAATTTACTTTTCTGACTTACTTTCACTTTCGGCATGACTACAGGAAGCTAAACAAACTCAACTACAGACTAGTCACCACTAATGTGAATGGCCCCCAACTTCAAATGAAGAAGCGTAACGAACCTCATGGAGACTTCGGAAATAAATAAGGGAAGTTCCTTATCGTTTGAATAGTATTAGATGTGAACGCTTCCAACTAATCTCTTCGCGGACACTTTGATGGTACGGAAAAGAAAAACTGTATACACACGACCATGATTGAAATTTTTAACATAAAATTAAAAAATATATATGATAAAGATTTTAAAAAGGAAATATGCAGTATAAACAGAGATCTTCGAAAATATAATGCTTATTCATAAAACAGGCAAAATATGCATTTATATGCACCATCAAAACATGTCCAAAATTTAAGAAACGAAGTAATTCATACATATATCCAAACGAGCATACTTTCTGGTTGTAAGAAAGAAATATGCATTTGCATTAAAATCCGGTCCCTAGTTCTGAAACGTTGAGGGTCCACATTATGTAGACAATCAAAGATGGCGGTAAGGTTGTCAGCCTTACGCGCTTTACTCCCCAGGAAAATTATTTAATTAATTCCTGGTACTCATTTCTGTTGGAGGCTGAGTAAACCCCAGGGCCTAGTGCGGCTGGAAAAAAAAAAATCCAAAGACATCGGGATTTGAACCCGCGACCTTCAGGCCTGTAGCTTACCACCGCCACCACTACGCCACCGTGTACGGTGTGTCAGCTAAACGACACTCATTGTCAATAAAATGTGACGTCACTGTTTGACGTCTGCTGCAGGCCACCAATCAGAATAGACCACATAAGCAAATACGCGCTAACAAGTATGGTAGTTTGTCGGATCGTCGGATGATGCAAGATAAGTAAATTGTGAGGAGGTGTTGTGATGTGGAAGTTTGTGAAAAGTGATGGTGGTGGTGTCGCCGTAAGAGTTTGGTAGACGCATGAAGAATTCGTGGATTTCTGATATACATTGATATGCTTAAATGTCTGTCACTGGAAAATGGCCGTACCTAAGGCGATAATTATTACAGCAATTCCAAAATATGTTCATAGTGATGGCACTCTTAGTAATCAAGCCGGAATTAAATTGAAGGCTAGGAATTCAATTTTGAAGTGCAGCAATAACACAGCAATAGCCGGTAAAATTGCAATACCAAAATCAAATTTGGTCACATCTATGGGGTGTGAGGATTCACAAATAAGCGTTCCGAACAGAAAGAGGAGATTGGACCATTTAACCTTGGAAGAAAAACTGCAAAGAAAGTAAGCCCATAAGTTTCATTTAATTGTTTAAACTTGTATACTAGTACACACGGCCCCTGTTTTGGGACAGTAACAATAATTTTAATAATTTAACCACATGTCAATTCTAGGTAATAACTCCAAAATTTCATTCTTAATAACTGGGAATTTAGGCGTCTGATGCAAGGTCATTAAAGTGTCGCTTAAGACTGTATTAATACTAACCAAAATAATTTTAAATTTTAGGAAATTGAAGAACAGAGTGGCAGCCCAGAGCTCAAGAGACCGGAAGAAAGCACGTTTGGATGACCTAGAAACTGAAGTAAGGATACTCAAAGAAAAGGTAGGTGCTACACATGTTTGCTTGTACAGTTTCGTATCTGATACTTCTGTCACTGGTACAGAGAAAATGAATAATTTTATTTAGAGCAAACCACCATAGAAACAAAGTTGGGGTGTGACAGTTCTGACATTGATTTCCTTTAATTTATGGAGTTCATGAAGTATAGCTGTGGCTATCAGTTCTTTTTAATTAAGAAGACGTATATTTTCTTGACTTGTATATGTAACCTACTGGGCTGAATTGAGCAGTAATGCTTCAGACTTATAGTTGAGACTGGGACAACCACTCTCATGACTTAAAAGAGTGTTGTGATATTCCTGTCTATCCAGACAAATGCTGGAATATCCCAGGACACAACTGCTTCCTTCAACATCCTCTCCATTCACAGTTCATTAAATCATCCTGTCATTGAGCACTGTATGGCATCATTCCTTGTCAAAACAACAAAGTGTAAGGGCAAAATTTGCATGACCATCTCAGATTGTAGCAACATTCTGCAGGATTGATGGGGCTATATGAAATATTACATAACTGTCCATTGATTGCAGAGGTACAGCATTCTGAAATTTTAAATCTTCCTTAAATTTTCTCTCATTCTGGTTCACTCCTATGCTATAACTCTTGTTTCAGTTAAGACAGACAGCTTACTCTTGTACTAATCATGGGGCTTTCCACTCAACAGTATTTTACAGGACATTAATATTGTAGCATATTTGCTCAAAGCAAGAACTGTGGAGCCAGAGAAACAGCCATTAGTGGGAATGGTTTTTCTAGACAGCAGCTCAGTAAACACATTCTTGAGGCAATGGATAAGCATGCAACAATAGAGGTACTGTTGGAAACCGTATTTTCCATGCAAAGGGGTTATAAAGAAGACAACTGGGGCAACCCACTCAGTTTTGTATGGGATACTGTGATTGTTTTGTTAGTGATCTGATTTTCCTGACCTGCAGAGACATGCCGCAGGGCATCACAAGTTATCTTCTGAGTTCATATCTGATTCCACTATAATGACTGATCTGCTTTTACCGGTTCTCATGGTCTCTTCGCTTGCAGATTTCTTATTTTTCCTTCTACCCTGAAGATGGAGGTGATGCGTTCCTCCTAAACGTCGGTTAACACCACATATACACAGTGCCAAATCCCAGAAGACTGCTTTCTTCATAGTCACTGCCGTGAAAGCCTCAAATCTTACACAGTGTTGTAATCCCTCAAATGTCAGAGTGCAACCTCTAAGAAAAATCTTTGCATTTCTGTTTTCTTGGTTCCCTTACAAATCATTACCCTTTCCTATGAAATTTTCAGTCCCTCGCCAATGAACATTTTTCTGAAGACTATTTTATAGTATTCATTTCTGGTGTCATTTTCCTAATATCTTATTCCATACTGACATTTAATGTAACACAGAGAACAGAACAGTATGGTACATGATTTGTTTGCCCAAAATGCAGCTGTCCCAGTATGTATGTGAGAGCTGCACATTATACTCGTACATTGTAAACCGTAAGTTAATAGAACCTTTTACTTTGATTCCAGAATGAAGCATTAACCTTACAGTGCCATAATCTTCAGTTAGAAAAGAAACAGTTAGCTTCAGAGAATCAAGAGCTGCGCCAGAAGTTGTCAGGCCTTGAGTGTAACCATCAGACCCATGATGTTGGCTGTAGTACCCAGGTTGAACCAGCAGCGTTTAGCATGGACCCTCTGCCGCAGGGACAGGCACTACAGCGGGCACTGGGCCCGGGGTCTCAGGTTTTGACAATGTGGCAGGTTCTGAAATACTGCCTTATCTCCCAGATCTCCTCGATAGTGTTGATGGAGATATGTGCCTATCTCACCTGGATGAATTGGCTCAAAGCTTACTCAGAGAAGCCGCTGAAATGGACACAGAGCACAGACAGTCCAGTGCAGAGGTCAGTTTCCTTTCATAGTCTACAGCAAGACTTATGTTTCAGATCCCTGTGTGATGTGTAACTTTTTGATGTACAGACTAAGCAGCATGTCAAATGCAACTTTATTTTCGTAGGTACATTTTCCCTGGGGAGTGAAGCTCGCCACTCACCTCCAACTAGTGCCGAGATCAAGAAAACATGAATCTGTACATCCACTTCCCTGTATGCACACACACTTTACTTCTTTACTTTTACCTTGCCATTAACTAACACTGTCATATGGACATATCACCTTCATAGAGAGGTGGTCCCAGGAGACCACTTTGTGCTAAGTTTGTGTCCGGAGGGGCAAGCATAACCATGAGATTTGAAATGGAATGACATATTATTGTGATATGTTGACCCTTTAATGATGCAACACATTCAGTTATATTTGCTGTAGCAATGTGTGGCATTCAGATGTCCAGCATACACAAAGCTAGATACCCAATTACTTAATGTCCCTTCTGTTTCAATACTTTCAGACCCTTATAATTTATCTCCCCCCCATTTCACAGTAATATGAAGGAACTGGGATAAATTACTGCTTTATATCTTCATTTTAATCTTTTGGCAAGAAGATTAATAATATTTGTTGAACAGAAATAAGGCAAGGAGATTTGTAAAACCTGTCCAAAAGAGTAAGATCTAAAAGTTTGTGATGATGGTACGAGGGTTGGAACTTTAATAGTGGCAACACTGCTGTAGAGACGCCACGCAACAGAACCAAATAATGTCGCTTATACCACACGTTAAGTTACATACCTACCTTACCTCAGAGCAAATGGACTCTCCCTTCCCACATCACGCGCATGCGCAGTGACAAGAATATCAGAGCCTCGTTAGCTGGCGGTCTAATGTAGTGTTGTCACGATGTTTTTGCATCAGGAACAACGGAGTTGGATAAAGATTGAATCTGTCAGAGGCCATACAGCACGACAGTGTTATCAAGGTCATCAAGAGGCTGGCAAGGAATCTGCATTGCCAGAATGTGGCAGACATGCATTAGCCAGGTCATCCTAGCATCAGTGAAGGAGTAGTATATGCTCTTTCCGCGTTACTGGCCCAAGAGACAGGATTAGCGCATATGACTGTGCTTCACATGCTGAAGGGACGCCTGGGCATGAGAAAAATTTGGGAAGAGGACAGAATCCAGTCTCCGAAATGTTCTGTCCAAAAGAGCTGAAAATTTTTCCGTTTGAACCAGTGGCAGCTCAGGGATTAAATGTATGTTGGGACTGGAACCTAAAGTTGATTCATGTAACTGTCCTTACTTGGCGTGAGAACCGACTTCCTTAAGTGTTCATCTCACATTTAATCTGCTTCTCCAGCAGCTCTGATGTTTCAGATCAAATCCAGCTAGTTTCACCATCATACAGAACACTTATGAAGCAGAAAAACAGTTTGTCACTCACACTTAAATGAGTCTTCACATCAAGTTACAGAGTTGAGAATGGCCCATTTTATCTTTCCCCATTTCAGATGTCATTGGTTTTTCATCCCCCCCCCACAAAGTCACTCCTGACAACAAGCTTTCTTTTCAGAAATGTAACCTCTTGCAACCCTTCGAGGAGGTATAAATTAGGAACTTTCAGGCTGGAATCAAAATGAGGCTGCTTTGTCGGCCAGAAACATCTGATGAAATGTCCTTATTGTCAGAGGCAGACAGGCTAGCTTGGAATAGCCCCTTGAACATTTTATTTGAACCAGAATTATTTATATTGTAACATGTAGACGGATTGTCATGTAACAGCTGTTGCTAGGGAAGAGGTCTGTGGACGTTTCCCTGGCAATGAGAAAACACGCAGTAATGAAAGAGGTGTTTTCTCTGTGGTCTGTGCCAGGGCATGATATGCTCTGCAAAGCCTGTACTGACAGAGGACTTGTGTGTAGTGCAAAAAGAAGAATTTTCAATAACATGTTATCTGTGCGAAATAAAAACTTGATGAAAGGCCAAGCACATTCATAAGAGAAACTCATCATCTCATCAGAGGATGTTGCATAAGGACTATTACCGCAAGAGTTCAGTTGGAAGAAATCTCTAGTCCTGGGCCTCAAGTGGCCCTAGACAAACTGATGGACGGTAAACTGCCTGTTGTAAAGTAAGTTTCACTTTGGGGTTGAATCAGTCGAGAGTTGCAGTTGTGAGAACTGGTAACTGAGGCCAGGAACCGTTTGGGAACCCAGAGGAAGTCCAACATCTACCATTGGAAGCCACTACTAAGCTACAGCTGGTGAAGACAGAAGAGTAGATCCATGAAACTGTTATAATTTTCTGTGGTTACATGTTCAATAAACCCAATTATCACTCCAAACCTCATGTCTAGTCACTACATACATGACAGTATTTTGATGTTTGTTCATCATGTGAGGCTCAATTTCTTGCTTTTATTTATAAATAAGTAATTTTATTATTTCCTAATTTCCCCTTTCTCAACTCTTGATGTCTTATTCATCAGGCAAGACAGTGCCTTTCATTGTATTAAAGATTCCTCCATCCCAGTTTGTCATTTCTGCAGAACATACTAAAAGGAGCTGATTTCCAACCAGGCCCTCATGACAATATAGCAAACATTAGTAGTATTTCACAGTCATTGTAACACCAAATATACATCCCTCCATCCTTAAAACTATAAGGATGGTGGTCTCTTGTTTGAAGGTTTTAGTTGCCTTTGCCTATGTTCTTATCAGTGTACTTTTTCCAGGTTGGAGTGTATGGATTCCAGGGAACGGGTAACCATTATAAAATGGTGGGGCCGTCACCAGAAGACATGGAAACCGATAGAGAACTGATCACAAGCAGTGCTGCTTTAAGATTTTCAGATCAGGGCAAAACCAGTTATGCAAGCATTCCAGACATTCAAGACTCCTCTGTATACCTTGTACAAAACCAAAAAGATACTTGTAACACTTCAACAGAATCAGTGCTTGGTACATACGATGAATCGACTCATACCATAACAATAGTAGTACCTTGTGAAGATGTGTGTGTAGAGGACGCTGTGCAGGAGGTAATAACGAGTGACACTGTATCAGCACTTCCAGCTCCCACACATTGCATTACACCATTCAAAGAAGAATCTTTGGAAAATCCTATTTCACCATGTAGTATGGGGACAATAGACAGCCTGTCCCCAGCCTCCTGTTCACCCCAACTCTATGACACTACAGAGTCCTGTTTTAAAGTTGAACAACCTCTATCAGACTGTGGCTATGAATCCCTAGATTCTCCACAAAGTGAAATTTCAGGAAATGAACTTGCAGATATATGGAGTGAAAGCTTTTCACATTTGTTTCCTACTTTAATATAGTTTGCTTTATGTAATCACATCTGGTGGCAATAAGAATCAGAAAAACAAAGGTTTTATTTCATACTAGTCCTATCCAGGGAGTCGCCAGTTCACGATTATTACAGGCCTGTTGCACTGTTGAATCTTGGAGCCGTGTTAATATCTTTGTGTTGGTGGACCAGGGGGATCAGTTACTGGTGGGGGCAAGGGTTAGGTGGTGGGTTCTTCCCTGGGGGTAAAACAGCCAGAGTGTGAAGGTAGTCACTTGCCTCAACCTAGGCTTTTGCTATACAAAGTGGATGTGTTCTTGAAAATCATAGTGTATATCTAAAACGCTTAACCCCAGAAAGATGGAGAAATGGGAAGTGACACGGCTAAATCAGAATGGTGTGCAAACCAGCAGAGGTGCCCTCACAACACATTGGGCATGCATGGCAGTTCTATTGTGGCTGCATACAGGGCATTGCTGCTCCAATGGCACTTCAGATGTATGAAAGTCACTTGTACTTTTCCTAAGAATGCATGGAGCTTTACATGTACACCTTTATTATAACATTGTACACGACTGACTATACCTTAAGAGAAACGTTTACTATGTGTCTTTCTGAATAATTTCAGCACTCTCTAACCGCCTCATAGCATTATATTATGGAACTTTAATATAGAAAACTGTCATTTATGTATAAAGCTGAAGCATTGAAAGTTTTGGTTAGTAGATTACTGAATAACTGCAGAGATGCTGTTTTAGGCTTCATATACCTTTATACAGGGGAGATGTATGTGTGGATAAATAAATTTGTCAAGAGTAAACTTGCTTGCTTATTTCAAGATCATGAAGTAGGTGGAAAACTAGATCATGTCCTTCACACAGAACACCTTACCCTGAAACCTATTTCCCCTGACATGTAACCAGTTATTTATAAATACCTGTCACTCCAAATCTCAATATTCCCTTCAACTTGACAGGCATGCAACCACTGGCACCAAAATTATTTCCTTCCAATACAGTTCTGTTCATGGGACACCCAAAGCACAATTTCCTTCCCCCGCTCCTTAAATGTCTAGACGCTACTGTCATTAGATCATTAAACTGTCAAGATATTCTGTACATGAAGCGTTTTTCTTTTTAAGACTGGTCTTCTGGGCTATAACCCCATGTCACCTTCACACTGGTTAGCAATTTTGAAGGAATCTTGCTAAATACCCTGAATGTGGAAGCAGCAGGTTCATCTGAAACAATGGTAACCATCTATAAGACTACATGGTGCCATAACCCACAAGATTACTATCTAAATATTCAGTGCCATGAAATAGCTAGATGGTTGGTCACTGGCTTCCCATCACAGCAGCCCAGGTAATGTTGGATTTGTAGTTGACAATGTGGCAGGTTTTCTCAGTACTTCAGTTTATCCTGCCAATTCTTGCTCCAGCAACTGTTTAATATCCTGTTACTGATGCTATTTAGTCACAACACTTGGCAACATGGTTAAATAACTTACAAAATAATCTAAAAAGCGTGGTATGCTTTACATGGAGTTTATATCCATATATTCATAACATAATACCTTGTGCTCTATAAAAACACATTTTGAAAATATATTAAGAATTTGTTACAATGAAAGTCTTGACATTTTGAACTACACTGGAAAATCAGGGCTGCCACTTCAGTAAAATTCTAAAATGAACATCTCTCTTTATCTCAGTAACTATTACCATGTTCTTTCAGCAGTTAATAATTGCTGAAATGCTAAGGTAATGGTACTCAGACGTGCCAAAGAGCCTGCCAATGAACCCACTCCTGTGCCAATTCCCATCTATGGGACTAATTTCTCAAAGTATTGTGGCATGTCTGCTGAAAGCCAGAATTGTGAAGCCAGCAGAATGGCTCTGTAAAAACGTTTCCATAGTAAATATGCATGTAACAACAAAAGAGCTGTTGCAGGCAGTTTTTTCTGTGGGGTCTGCCACAAGGGCCAACTGCCATTACAAGCCACAGTATAATTGTGTGAGTACCAAAGGACTCGGACCCAAGAAAGACTGTGCTGGCAAGGGCTAGCAGCACATACAAAAGACAGACCCGTCCTCTCATCAGAGAGGGCACCCCACAAAAAATGAGACCATACTTGTCAAACAGTATTAACTATTTGGTCATAAGCCCCAGATGGGGCTCGACATCAACACTTACTGACTGACCATCAGTCTCAATGTGACTTGAACTTTAACATACGAGCCAGTTGCCCGTGTGGAGGCGGATCTGATACCCGCATCATAGCTCTGCAAGTCATCAAAGGCAATGAAAAAGGAACCCAGTGCCTGGGGGTATAACTGAGCCACTCTGTTTCTGGAGGATATAAATACAGGGACCTGGCCCTCCATGTTGGTGGTGTCTCAAATCTGAGACAGTCTCGTGGGACTCTGACCTGAGAATGACTGTACTGGCAAAAGCCAGTAGCAATTGTAAACAAGAGACCCATCCTTTCATCAGAGAGAATGCCCCGCACTAAAAAACCCCACAGCTGTCTGACAGTAACAAAAATCTGGTCTTGGGCCCTAGATGGGGCTTGACACCAACACAGACTGGCTAACTGACCATCAGTCATAATGTAACTTTAACTTTACGGACTTATGAGTAAGTCGGAAAAAGGAGGTCCTGAGTCCTGGCTAGGAGGCCATGGGAGAGCAGTACAGTCTTGAGTTGGCACCTAAGAAATGCAGTCCTTGAGCTGTTGGTGTGAGGAATAGCCCTTGTTTGAAGACTGTAACCAGGCAACAATTAATCATGAGATAGACTCCAGCCAGCAAGGAATGCAGTCATTATCAGGAGACAACCAGTGAAGACAGAGCAGACTGAGGAGACTTAGGGCATGCTGTGGTGAATTGTAGTGTGTGAATTAGCGAGAGTACTGTAATTAATTGTAGTTACAAGTTTAACGAGCCCAATAGATCTGATTACCAATCCAAATCTCGTCTATAGTCACAATGTGACAATATTAAATCTCATATTCTGCAATTTAAGTTTATGTCCTTATCTAGGTGGTTTTTCAATTAAGTCCAGCCAATATATTGTTCGCATTTATTGATTTCCACATGTTAATTCCCTGGAATCTCATCCTGAATTTAATTACCTTGACAATACTGGATGACTAGTAAATTTGTAAAGCTCCTTATGTAACTTTCTCCATTTTATTTTCATTGGTTGCATCCTGTGTGTCTCAGACAATATGTAATATGTAGGCACTATGCTACCATCAACACAACAATATTTCAGTATTACACTTAGATCTTTATGTACTGCAACATGTTTCGGTCATACATGACCATCATCAAGCAGGAACATGTATAGTTACTGAAATACCGATACGGATCCTTATCGGTGCAATACATCATATTAAATATTACCATAAAAACTTTGCCTCAGATTAATGTATAGTTAAAATAGCAAATAGCAAATGTTTTGTTGACAGCAGAATAGTTCCTACACATTATGTATTGTCTGAGACACACAATAGGATGCAACCAATGAAGTGTTTGCTATTTTAACTATACAGTAATCTGAGGCAAAGTTTTTATGTTAATATTTAATATGACGTGTTGCACTGATAAGGATCCGTATCGGCATTTCAATAACTATATGTATTCCTGCCTGATGATGGTCATGTATGACTGAAACATGTCGCAGTAAATAAAGATCTAAAAGTAATACTGAAATATTTGTTGTGTTGACGGTAGCATAGTTCCTACATATTTCTCCATTTTGCTTTCTCACCTAGATTCAAATACTCTTCTTAACACTTCATTCTCAAAACCCCTTTGTATTTACTCATCCCCACAAATCAACATACAAAATAGTTTGATAAAAGTTAAAGAATTATGAGAGAAATATTTTAAATATATTTTTATAACATGGACTGTTTTTGTTAAAACCTGAAGAAACATGATTTTCTGGTATCATGAAAATAATGATTTAAAAAGAAAATGTTATCTCCATTTTCAAGTACAGTGACAGTGCTGATTGAGCAGTGTGGTTAAAAATAGTATACGATGGGGTACCCAAAAGAAACCGAAACTAATATTTTTGTGGGCAGAGCTTTAGTAGTACCGCGTTTTGCCACTATGAGTGCATAGAGCTAACATTCCTGAGTCGATAAGCCGACTACCGTTGCTTCAGAAGGTAAGGACTAGTTTCGGCAGAGTTTATAGTGACAACTGTTTTGTGTGATCGTCGTTCTTGCAATGGCTGATTTTCGTGAACAGCGTGCGGCGGTGAAATTCTGCTTTTTGCTCGGGAAAAGTGGAACAGAAACTCTTGAAATGTTAAAAACGGTGTACAAGGACGATGCTATGGGGAAAACTCAAGTGTTTGAGTGGTTTTCCCGTTTCAAAAATGGTGAAATGTCAATTGACGACAAACCTCGTTCTGGTCGTCCTTCCACGGCCCGAACACATGAAAATGTTGAAAAAAATTGTGAAATCATCAAGGAATCAAGGAAGATCGACGACGGACCATTGAAGAAATTGTGGAGCTGTCGGGAGTGACTTGGAGCTCAGTTCAGCGAATCTTGACAGAAGATTTGGGAATGAAAAGGTTGGCTGC